CGAAAATGCCGTGAATTTGCAGTTTTTTCCTTCAACAAAATCTAAACATTTTAAATGCAAGCCATAAGTGTGCATACATATGTTTATGTAGCCATACATTTGTTTGTGTGTGTGTGTGTGTTTGTTTATAAATGTGCTTGCGTTCAATTAGCATCATGTTGTGTACGAAGAAATAAATATTAAAACAAATAAAAAAAAAAGAGAGAAATGGAAATAAAAAATCAAATTGTAACTCTCGTGCAAAATGCTTTTAAGTAATTTTGAATACAAGCAACTTAGACACACACTCACAGACCATTTAAATATATATATATATATATATATATATATTTATGTATATATATATATGTGCACTTCTATAGTGATTTCCGTACAAAAATGTTAATATTTTCTTCTTCGTTTTTCTTCTTCTTCTTCTTCTTTTTCTTTTTCTTCTCCTTTTTTTTTTTTTTTTGAACTTAAGAAATTCACTCAAAAAATTCTTTTAATCATCGCCAATTGAGGAATGCCTTCACCTTAATTAAAAAAAAAAAAAAGGAATTCTTTTGTCAGATAAACGCTTATATGTATATATTATGTAAATGCTTGATCTTAACTAAATTTCAAATTGATTCTCATTAAAAATACAATTGAATATCTTCATTTCTATTAAAATATTGCAAGGGACATCAACATACAATAAGTTAGAAGCGCGTAGAAGACAAAAGTCATTCTTGTGGGCATCTGCTGCAAATGTTTATATGAACTCGTAAACTCCTAACAATTAATTACTGTTAATATTATAAGACAATATAAGAGATTTGTCTTCATTTGATCTTAAAAGAGCGGAACAATTGAATATTTCAGTCGATTTATATCAAATACCGAAGGATATCTATTCATGCATCATTAAATATATACCTGATGAATATAGAAAATTTAGATAAAAGAATTTTGCCTATAATTTCGAGCGAAATTTTCATAATAATTGCTTAGCTGATATCATTTTATAGAAATTTTTTTTTAAATTTCTTAAAAAATACGCCCCTTAAAGACAAAAATATTAATATAACAAGTAATAATAAATTATTATTTTTGCTTGAATCGAATAACTATGAAACTCGAATCGAATTGATTATGAAATGAAAGTCCCGCTGTAACTGTGAAAAGATTAGATATCAAAATTTTGATATCACTCATTGAACATTACGCCTATGTCGATATTGTGAAGGCAAAGCCAAAAGCTAAATGAAAGCTTAAAGAATAATTGATATTCAATATTGAAAAAAACTAAATCGAATCAGATTTCTTGATTTAAAATGCAAAACTTGATCTCCACTAAAATGTCACGAAAATGACTTTAATTATTCTTATAGATCTTTTTATTTGAAGCGAGTAAATATTATGCAAATTTATTTAGATTAAGCGATTTTTGTTTGGGGCATTACGAAGAAAGCGTTTGAAGCTTAGAATCAACGCTTGAAATGCAGCAAATTCTTAACCAAATCACTTCAGTTCACGTTGGACCTTATGTGTAAACTGTACTAAATTAACTCAGTTGATTCAATTGAAATGCAAACCTGTTGTTAAAAATTTATATATGAAATTTAAGTGAACCCAAAATCCTCGTAAAAGAAATCTTGCGATGAGATTATAAAAATTGATTCTTGTGGGTTACAATTTTTAATTTTAGCTCGAAACTATTAGATGAAAACTTTCAACTTTGGTGACTATCAAAATTAATTAATTTTTTTTTTCTTTTTTTTTTTTTTACACGTTAGTTTTGTTTAACAAAAAAGAAAAGAGAAATACCTTACGATCTATTTATATACATTTGCTCTCTTCGAGATATAGTTTTAGATGCAAAATAAACAGCTCTATGTTGATAAGCATTTTAATCGCATCTCTATAAGGAAACACCAATATATCTGCTCTTCATTTTCATACGTACATAGTATAAGTGGTTGTTGTGTTTGTGTATTTGTTCAGCTGATTCACGTGCTTAGGCATTACGATTAGGAAACTATTGAAGATTGAAATGAATGGATTTGAAAAACATAAATTTCAATGCCTTTAATCGAGTGAAAGAGTTAAGAGCACTAATGAAACTTTTAAAGCATAAGAAAGAAAAAAATAAACAAAAAACGAAAAACACAAGAGGAGGAAGCTATGTAAGAAAATAAAAAACAAAAATAAAAGTAAGTTTGCTTGAAAGCGGGTACCGGATTTGTTTTCATTTTTATATATGTATTTATTTTTTATTCATTCAAGTGACATTTTGAATTGTTGGTAATTTTACGACAAAAATTAAAAAAAGTAACACAATATCACACCATTTATTTATTATGGTGCACTGAAAACAGACGAAACAGAAAAGACGGCCAGTTTAGTTTTATTATCGTAGTAGTGTTAGCTTTTTAAACATAACAATTTCCTTACTTGAGATTTTAAGTCTCATGCGTGCAGAGATTTTTATGTGAATTTACGAAAGAAACGCGTTATTTAGAAAAAAAAAAAAAAAAAAAAAAAATGTAAAGAAAAAACAAAACCGTTTTAAAACACTTGTAACTAGAAAGTGTTTCTTTCATAAATAAAAACGTAAAGAGTGAAAAAAAAAAAAAAATTAACTTGTTAGTATAATGACCCGCAGGGGTCAAGTAGATGCCGACATAGAGTAATGGGGGCTTTCTCTGCTAAAAAAAAAAAAAAAAAAAAAAAAAAAAAAAGTGTAGAAAAATTTGTAGAAAACAGTAGAAAACTTACTTAGTGTTATTACACATTCCATACAATTTTAATAAAGAGGTTGAGTTTAATTATCTTAACGCTTATATATATACGTGCAGGCTATCAAAATATTAAAATATATTAAATTTATCGTTACATATGCCGCCTCTCGTTTATAGCGAGTTCAGCTTAACAACTAACAATCATCACATAGTTAAAGCGAATAAAAATCTCAAGCCATTTCCAAGTATGCCTAGAAGAGATTAATACCAACCGAGCGCAGAAGAAAATTTGAAATTCTTTAAAAAAAACAAAAGTGCTTTGCTTAAGTTTGCCGAGATGCATTAGAAATTTTGAGACCATTACTTGGGTATTAAAATTATTCTTCCTTGCAAAACGTAACTTGCGAGTTACTTTTCACTTTGTTGCTCACTCAGTTGCATCTAAAACGAAAGACTGTTGATATTTATGCATAGTAGCGTTAGTCGCTTGTCATCATTCACATGGCAGCTACAAATCCCGGGAATTAAGCATTGTTTGTTTCACTCCATGGTTAAGTAGCTTTGAAATCGAATATGCGCTTTCTGCCTCATTTCTGTGCGAGAACTTCCGAAAACCTTGTAATTACAAGTCAAATATTAATTCGACGACCAAATGCATATCGTTTTTATAGATCTTTTTATTCGGGCAAATAAAAAAAAAAGCGAAAAAAGCGTGAAGGAAACGTAAGAAACCAAGACAAGGACTAGAGAAAGGCATCCAGATTGGATCTAACCAGATTTTTTCCAAGAAATTTATATGCTTCTATGCATGCGTTTGTCTTTCATTACAAAAATTCGTTTTTAAGAAACCTGAATTTACTTACCATCAAGTACTCTATGAAATTATTTATTAAGGCCGTTAACCACTATATAGTAAAGTTAAGCAATATATGGTTAGATTACATCAACCAATTTCCAAGTTGGAGTTCATTCTGCTCTCATTTAAAGCCATCATCAGACATACATTGGTGCCTAAACCAGAGCATGACAAGGCCTAGGGGAGAATGTCCCGGAATCGTTTAAAATGTTAAACAAAACCCACCTGATTACGCAGAAACGGTACTCTTTTCTGCAATTTGGTAAAAAATTCTCGCGGTTGACAGTAACACGGATGAGAGATAAGGTTTGAGTTTTATACATTTTTTTATGCTTATGATCAAAGGAGGAGGGTTATCTTCATTTTGTCAAAATATTTGCGACGTACAGAAGGAAGTTTCAAAGGCCCCGTAAAAGATATGTATTGTGAATCGATTTAAGCATGTCCGTCTGTACGACTGTCCGTCTGTGTAATGCCTGTTGTACGCATTCTGTTTACAAAATTGGCTTCAAATTTAATAGAAATATATGAAGTTTTTGCGCGTAGGTTGGTGTTGAAAATGGCCCAAATCGGTCAAAGGACACGTCTAAAGTGCAATATAAATCGAGAAAACCATTGGTTTTTCTGTTTTTTGGTCTACTTTTTTTCTCACAAGAATCGAAAATATCAGCCACGCCCCGCAATATTACAGGGTATTTAAATGTACATTGTGCCTCCTTTTTTTTCGTCGTCTGTTTACGATAAGGATGATGGCTATAAAAGATTCGATCACAACTCAGCATAATTTTCTTACTTCTTTTATTTAGATTTATTAAGTAAATTTTATTCACACTCTCTCTCTCTCTCTCTCTCTCTCTCTCTCTCTCTCTCTCTCTCTCTATCAAGTATTTTCATCTACATCTGCGTGTGTACATTACTAGTTGCTTGAAAGCATCTGGTTTTCTATTTTGCAGAGTTATCGTTAGTCGTTTAACACCATTTCTTACTTGCCGTACTATTATTGCACATTTTATGATACTTACTCATCTCTTTAAAAGACGTGTGTGTATGCACGATTGTTTGCTAAAAACCATAAACGCGTCTTCTTCTGAGAATTTCTTGACAAACAACCCAGAAAATCAGAAAATAAGGAACAAAGCAAGAAGGCGCAACAAAACAACAACTTGAAACGAATTACAGTTCTTGTTATTTTTTTAACGTTTATTTATCTATCTTATTTATTTATTTATTTATTTATTTTTTTATTCAGAGCGGTTTTTTTCTTTAACATGTTCACACTTAAACCATTTATGTTAGCCTACCAGGTTTTGTTTTAATGTTTATTAATGTTCACATATATGTAAGTGAATTTTCATTTTTTTTCTTCTTCTTTTTCTTATTCTCTCTTTTTTTTTTGTTGTTCTTTCTCTATCTTTCTCTAATTTTTTTTTTTTTTTTAGAAACTCTATGCTAAAGCGTTATATGATAATGTTGCTGACTCACCAGATGAACTGGCCTTCAGAAAGGGCGACATTCTTGCCGTCATTGAGCAGGACACCGATGGTTTGGTTGGATGGTGGTTGTGCACATTACGCGGCCGTCAGGTAAGTGTCTCTAATTTGTTCTGTGCTTTTCTTTTTTTTTTTTTTTTTTGTATATATATATCAATCATCGCGAGTTAAGGGTATTTTGATTTTGTCAAAATGTTTGCAACACGCAGAAGGAAGCTGCCGAGATCCTATAAAGTATAAGCTGGTCGAAGCATTTGAGTCGCTTGAAGGCATGCTTAGCCGGAAAGAATCGTGCTCGTCTACCCGGTATTATTAAGCGTCAAAATTGCATTTCTTCGTTTATTTTTGTACATAAAACAAGTGGATATAAAGGATTCGTCCACAGCCGAATATAATTTTCTTACTCGTCTTAATTTTTTTTTTTTTTTTTTTTGGTTTCATTCACTGTCCATCAGCATACAACGATTCGCACATTACAAATCAGTACACGCCTGTTCGTATACAGTGTCTGTTTAGTTTAAAAGTCAATCATTCCGTTTTTGATGCGGAGTAAAAATAAAAGCATCCATTATGAATGGAGGATGAACAATCAGACAAGAGACAACAAGAGAAAATGCAATGACTGATATGAAGAAAAGATGAACTCTAGAATTGCGTTAACAAATTGTTTGAGAATTACTAACTCAAAGCCCTGCAGTCAAAACCATTTAAAATTGTTGTTGAAAAAGTACAAGCAGGCAAGCAGGCAAGCAGGCAAGTAAACATATGCATACATAATATGTAGCTCGAAAAGTGACAGAGTAGTGAAATGAAAATAGACATCAGTTCTCATGGTCTGTCAATCAAAATTAACAGATTTCCTGCTCTCATCTGCATATATTTATGCATCTGTACTACATGTACGCTGGCATGTATAATTAAATTTATAATGGTCCATAAAATTAGCATCGCTTTTATAAACTGCATTTCTTATTTTGTTTTTTTGTTCTTTTTTTTTTTTTTTTTTTTTAATATTATAACTCTAAACGCGTAAAAGTTATTTTAAACCAATAATAAATTCAAGTTAGGGAATAGATGAAGAAACGATTCATTAATTTGCTATTTTTAATTAAAGATATAAGTCGCTCATGTAATTGTGTGTGTGTGTGTGTGTGTGTGTGTGTGCCACAGAAGCCAAGAGATGAAAAACAAAGGATAAAGTTGTATTCGACTTGGGCCAAATCTTATTGTTTTCATCAGACGTATAAATGAAACTCAGACAGATAGCCAGACAGACAGACAAACAAACAAACGTGCAAACATATATATACGAATCAACACTATGAATACTTTTTGCGATTTCCGGTGCATATCTGTGTTTGTTACCAAAGTGTTGGCAAATCTAATGCGCACCTCCTGTCGTGATTATAAAATTTAATTTCAAATTTAATCAGACGAGACGAAAAGTTGCATGTAAGCAATGAAAAATCAACATAAACATTGAAAATGGTTTAAGCTTCTGCTTATAGTGTGAATGTTGTAATATTTAAATACTAGATTTTCATATTAGCATAGGAACAAAGATACCCCCCGAAATCTCTTATATGAGTACTCGTAGGCTTTGTTTTAATGAAAAACTGAAGCATAAGTGTTGGGAGATAAAACTTTGAAAACTTCAAAAAGATCATATTGGATAGTCTTATATAACAAAAAAGCTAACACCATAATCTTGTTTAACGATTCTCAACCTTTTGACTGCTTTGGGATTGAACCACCTTAGGCTTAACTTTTTAGCAGCAGTCTAGTGATAAGCTTATGCCGTATTTCTTTCAAATTGATACAATGATTCATTTCAATAGTTGAAGCCTTAAGAGCGAAGAGGGAAATATTTGGTATTTTCAGCTAAAATAGAAAACTTCCCAATGACCGTACGTCTGACAGACGGCTTCATTTTCGGCTACGATGTGGTTTCACATCGCATTTTTTGTTCTTTATGCAATCAATCGTTGATATGATGGAAACTAGCGAGCAACATTGAGCATTCGATGCAACTAAGGATTATAGCGGTGATGCAGAGTCGACGTCTATGACGCCTTGTATATTTTCCGGTTAATAGTGATGATAAAAAACTATATTCGGTGGCTTTGATGTTTTTCTTGAAATCAAACAAATAATTAAACTTTTATTGATAAGTCAAATTTCACAAGTTACGACGCTATTGTGGATTACGCCGCACTGTTGAATACCCTGCATCACTTCGCTTAATACATTTATTCATATGGGGACTTTTCAAAATAAGGCGGTCCCTGATTCCAAAACAAAATTTTAACAAGATATGCCAATAATTGCGCCCCTTGTAGGTTGACGACGACGCGGTGGACCGACCTATCTCTGAATTTAGCGATCTAATAAAAAGTCCTTCTGCGTGTTGTTTGTAGCTGCACAAACTTAAAATACCCTTATACCACATACCACAAGTGATCTAGAAGAGTAAAAAAATCAAAACATTTTTTGGAAAAATCAAGTAAAAATATTGGATCGAATCAGAAATGCTTAAAAGGTCATGGCAAGAAACGAAATTCGAGGAATGCGTGCTTTTCAACAAACGTCTGAATATCACACAAAGACAATGATGACGCTAGCATACCTTTCTACTTCAGTAATTCATAAAAGAAGAAAAAAAAAAAAAATTACATATTTTTTGTTCTCAAAAAACTTTATCTGCCAACAGTTTCGATAATAAAATTTTTTTTTTTTTTTTTTGCAAAACTTTTGAAAATAAACAACACATGTCACCATTATGTTCGCAAAACTGATGACTATCCAATAAATGTCTGTCAGAAATCTCACGTAATACGAGGAGAAGAAGCAACAACTACGTCAGTATTCAACTTTTGCACTGCACAGGATATTATGCAAAGTTTATGCATATGAGCAACAACAAAATGAATCTATATAAATTTTTTTCTGTGATCTGTCACTCGGGCGATGTCTTATATACATGTAGGTACAATGGTGTCTGATAGAATTATAGGTATAGAGAAGGGAAAGGAGGAAAGCAGTAGTGTTTGAGTACGTTCGAATTGAAAATGGTGACATCTGGTACGGTGGGAAAGACAACCACTGGTAAGTTTTTCCAAAGGCAAAACTAGTACGGTTAAAGACGCGGTAGGGGGTCGTGGAGTACGTGGGTACCTTCAGGACGAGGGCATGAAAACGCTAAGAAAGCCACATAGTCCTGTTAAAATGCTTCGCTGGTAAGCAAATTCCTTTTATCTCTTTAGAATACTTGCTCTGCAATTATAACCGAAGGGTTATATAGGAAGCTAAGATGAAAATACAGTGAGCAACAAACGCAATCAGTTTGGAGACAAGAGCACCTTGCCTCGAAACTCTGTAGAAAGGCTTGGAGATTTAGCTAAACAATCTTACTTGATTTCATTACTTGGTGAGGCAGGACATTAGGTAACCTGTAGACCGATTTTTCCGAAAGCCTTACTGCCTACTATTTGCTAATTAGATCGTTGGATAGCAACGGGTGTAATTGGCCATGATCTCCAGGGATTTCGATATAACAGAACAACTTACAATTGAGCCATAATTTGTGGTACCGGTAGAGTCGCTCTGGGTAGTGGTTGAGTTATTGATGATCTTCCAGCGATTCGGAAAAATGCCGGCATGTTTACATTTCCCGAAGAGATTACGCCACGGCCTGGCAATTGTGTCAGCACACTCTTTTCGAGCTAAATCAAAATCAAAATAAATCTATATATATATACATGTGATGCGTTTATACATGTACCGCGAAACATTTTCAAGTTTGCTAAATAAAATATCGATTTATATTCATATAACGAAACTTATTTAACAATAAAAATTGTAATAAATCGCTTTAGATGATAATTTAATGTAAAATTGTTTTGCTTATGTAACATTTTCAGGGTCTTTGTCCTGGCAATCGTTTACGAATTTTAAATTCCTATGATTCCGGCTGTTTTTCACCATCACCAGCATCGTCACCGTGCCCTTCATTGGCTGCGAGTACAGCCACTTTAAACAGTTCCATTTGTTCGGCCGACATTTATGAGAATACATCGATAATTAGCAGTCCGGGAAGCACTACTAATGGCAGTGCCAACGGCTCTATTAGTGCCAGTCAAACGCATTTAAATACGACAATAGCTGGTAATGCTGTCACAGTGAATAATTTACAGCAACAACAGCAACAACAGCAACGTCAAGGCATACGAAGGTCATGGCATGTTTCGCCCAATAAGGTGAGTGAATGGTGTATTCAGTAAAGTTATCGCATACCTTTCCAATCGCTTACAAGCTGCAAATATTAATTTAAAATTCCTAATTATGATAGCAAGCAATTATCTTAAGGTGAACATGCGGGCGTGTTTGCACATATTTTGCGTCTTTGTCTGCCTGTATATAAGCAAAAAAAAAAAAAAAAAAGAATTCAAAACGAAATTTCTTCATTTCACGCTTGGTCTGCATATATGGTTGTAAGTATCGCTGGATTTATTGGCACTGTTCTCATTTCTCGTTGCGCATTTAATTAAGTTTATTTCTTCCTCTACTGAACTTTAATCCAAGTCCGCAAATTATGGTGCATTTATCAGTTGAAGAAACTTAAATGTCGACTACGGTGAGAAAGTAGGAAAAAATGCACATGTGTTTTTATTTTTAATTAAAAAACTAAAAAAAAAAAAAAAAAAAAAAAACACAAAAAATCTATAACATCAGCTCATATACAAATCCGAACGGAATCTTTTTTGCTGCTAGGTTGTGACTTGTAGTTTATTTTGTCCCCTGTCTGGTGCTCCCTCTAGCAGTCGCTGGTGTGTGGCTTATTGGCTACGCCTAGCATATTTAAATTGTGGCGCCTTCTTCTTTTATATGAATATATATATATATATATATATGAATATATATATATATATATATATATATATATATGTATATATATAAACTTGTGCGAGTTGTGTATGTTTTTATCTGTCCATGTATCATATTTATCTGTGCAAGCATAAGTGAAAGGAGTGTGTGATATGCTTTCCCCCCGTTGCGAAACGAATGATTTGTTAGTCTGTGTAAACAATGAATAACTTATTTTACATTCATATAAATATATATCTATTTATATGCGTGTGCATGTATATATATATATATATATATATATATATATATTTATATATATGATTGTTGCGACTATGAAAAGATTTGCACTTGAATTCGGATTTGTATCGTATTCCCAATGTCTGCAATTTCAATATCTTTTCTCTCTCTTTTCGCTTTATGTACAAAAATCGTGATTATGATTATACAATTTTCGGTGTTTATATGTATATGTGTGCGTATATATTCGCATAACAATATATATTTGGCTACTTAAATTTTTTTTTGTAAATTTTTAAGAGAAATCATATTTCTTTCTTTAATTTGCAATCGTACATAAGCGAATATAAATTTGTTACACCGTTAGATTAGATTGTCTCATAAATAACGACGACGGTTACATAGTTACATAGACGCGCACACACATAGGCGGCACGTATGCGAATGATGCGGACATATGTTTAGAAAAGTGGCCTCCTAAACGGGCATGACTTGAGCGATTAACAACAACTGGAATGAAAAGAAAACTTAAAAAATAAATCTTTTAACTATGGTTTGTTAAATATGTTTACACAGTTTTAGAACAAAATATTTTGAAAATTACAACAACAACAACAAAAACAAAAAAGTAATCATTCTTATGCTCTACAACATTTTCGATACGCGATTTATTTTAAAGTTTGCACGAATATGCGGATAATTGCCCGAAGAGCATAAGACTTTTACTGCATCGATCGATTCAAAATCATTTTCACAAATAACGCGCTACGATCCCCAATTATGTTATTTTTAGGGCAAAATCGAATTTTTAGCATTTTGTAATTCTCGAAAAGAGCGAAAAAATCATTTGATTATTATAACATACATACAAACATACATACATACATACATACATACATACATACATACATACATACATACATAAATACATACATTACCTTAATGCGACAAGCTGTCAAAATTGAAATTGTTTGATGCGTTTGTTTGTAACTGAAAGTACATTCGTTGCTTTATAGGGGTCTAATACGAAAAGAAAAGAACGGTTTTGATAACTAAATCAGTTTCATAAGACAAAAGATTCAAGAGTTGAACGCGATAAAAGCTAAAAAAAATCCCTTTTTCAAGAAATCTTTTAAATTTTCAAATTTATTTCATCTTTTAAATTAGGTCTAAGATGGTTATTAAGCAAGGTTAAGATCAAAAATTAAAATTGGTTCGATATATGCATTTATACCCTACACCTACACCACTTGAGGTAGAGGGTTTTTAGTTAAGTTAGTGCGATCGTATGTAACATGCACAAGAGCTTAAGATAGGCCCACCTCCCCCTTATACCGATCGATACGGAATCACAATCCGAATTGATCCAAGTCGGTCTGTCCGTCTAATATGTGTTCTGATGTAAACTTGTGTTTAAGCTACAGGCCGTAATTTTTGAGATATTTTAATGAAATTTGGTCGAATCAGGCTCGACCCCTTTCCATATAACGCCCTATTCTGAAAACTCGTTATATGGGAAAAAAAATTGCAATTTTTAAAATTTGTCGGCAAAATTGGTTGGTTAAGTAAGTATTCCGGCATTCTAAATTGGTGCGAAAACTTTCGTCCGTTTGAGGCAACTTTTTAAACCCTCTCTCTCAAATAATTGTTTCCATGAAAACTTAATTAAGAAAAACAAATCGTAATTTTTGGAATATTTTTACCAAAACGAGTGAATAACTGCACTAGACGAAGTGGTGTACGATATTGAATGGTCGGCTTTGCCCGACTATAATGTTTTTACTTGTTTTTGAATATGTTTATTTTCAATTTCCGGGATTTTCCGGAATATGAGAAATTTTCGAATATTATGAATTCGAATATTTTCGAATACTTGAATAAATCACCAAAATATTGCTGCGCGCAAACTGTCAAAGCAAGTGCCGTTTGCTGCCAATGACTCCCATAATATATAAAGTATTAAAGGTACAAAACAAAACTTCTGACGCTGAAATTCGATGCTTCTTACAACGTGCTTGACGCGTTCGACGCAGTCATACAATTCACAGAATTTAAAGGTGCGCGAAAATGGATCGATGACTATTTCCCCATATTCACAAATCTGCAAATTTCTGCCGCGAGGACAGCCATAGATGATAACGCATAGTTAGGCTATTTAGCTTTATCACAAGTATATTTTAAATACAGTTAAACTTTATCAAAAAAAAAGCGGTAAGAGTTTATTTGTAGATCTACTACAAGTAACGCAGAATACAGGATACAGGATATTCCTGCGTCCCAAAGCAACATAAACGTCATATAAAAACGAAAGATTGCGATAGAGCAGTTGATATATCGGTTGCGTAAACTTCACGAAAGACAGCCATTGCTTTTGCCACCAGAGGTTAAGGGTTTATTGCGTTATGATAACACCTTCGAAGCGAATACTGAGGCAATTGATTATTCAGAAGAGCGTGAGGGAGCAAAAATATTTCTAAATATTGCATTGAATTTAAGATGAATTAAAATTTAATAAAAATTCAATAATTGCCTAGAAGTCGTTGTTAATTATGTTTAAAACTTTCCGAAACAAGTTTCGTCTGCGCGGTTGCCGTACATTTACTCAGTTAGAACTACAATCAATGACTCTCAAATTCATCAGAATTTGCTTCAGACACTTTTTAAGGAATCAAAGGAAGTCAAAGAACAAAAATATATTAAAAATTTACATTTTACTTAAGAAATGGTGTTATTTTAAATTTTGATACGTTTTGGCCAAGAAAAGTGACGCTTGAGATCGTAGTGCAAAGTAAACGTGTCTGGCTATCTGTCCTTCAAATGTTTAACGTACAATAATGCAGAGGTTTTTGACTGTGAAATTCGTTACGCTAAAGCAGGGCCGAACCCCAATTGAAAATGGCGGACTGGTTGTATTGCATTAAATTTTCGCCAATACTCCAGGTAGAACTCTATTTTGAAAATGATTCGCAATTTACAAAA